TATTGTTGATCATGAAAATCAATCAAATTCCTTGTGATCAAATATGACTGTGATTTCTTCAGGAAACGACTCCATAGAACCACCATCTTTATGTTGACGATGATGATCACTTCCGCTTGATTCTGTACGAGGTAAAGAATGCCATGTTAAACTAACAGCAGTAGGCCTAGATTCCGCAACTTTCATCAATGGCTCATCTGGGTTCATGAATATCTGAACAACTTTCCTCATTTTAGGCCTTTCCAATCTATCTGGATGCAAACAAGCCAATCCAACTAGTATGATCTTCCTGGCTTCTTCCTCGTCGAATTTCCCTTCTAGGCTACGATCCACGCACGTAAACAATTCGTTCTTTTCACGTGAATTCCACACGAAATCCACCAATGAATTCTCATCCATTATCCCTCTTGACCTGCGACCGCACACCACTTCAAGAACCACCATTCCGAAACTGTACACATCTGATTCAGGCGTTGCGCGACCCGTGTAACTAACTTCCGGGGCTAAATAACCCGGGGTACCCGCCACGATTGTCGTGACAAAATTATTGTCGTTTTGGAGGAGTCTAGCGAGGCCAAAATCGCCTAAATGCGCCACGAACTCTGAGTCCAGCATCACATTGTTAGGCTTCACGTCGCGATGAACCACCGGGTTACCACATTCTTCGTGTAGGTAGAGCAATGCGGAGGCCAAACCGGATAGGATTTTGTACCTGGTTTTCCAATCCAGGAAGGATTTTCCAATGTAGTGATCAAGGCTTCCGTTTGGCATGAATTCATAGACTAAGAAAAGGAGGTCTTTTTCGTGGCACCAGCCTTGGAGTTGGAGTAAATTCTTGTGCCTCAGCCGTCCAATTGTGCATATTTCTGCCAGATATTCCCTCTCCCCTGTAAATAGAAATAGTTGTTATGTCAAGAAAAATTTGATTTACTTTTTTATATACTTTATCTGAACTGTTTTTTTTTTTTTTTTTGGGGACGGATGGAGTATTTTTTCTTACAAAAATGAGAGATAAATATATATACCTTGTCCTGATGCTGCATGAATTTTCTTGACAGCTATAACTTCAGGAGGATCTGATGACAAAACACCTTTATAAACACTTCCAAATCCTCCAGTTCCAAGCAAATTCTCCTTGTGAAAATTCCTAGTAGCTTTAGAAAGTTGCTTGTAAGTGAACAACCTAGGAGCATTGGCTGCATTTCTTGTCAGAATTTCCAGGTCCCATTTCTTTGCTTGAATCATCTCATTCTTCCTCTTCCTAGCAAAATACACAAACACCATAAAACTAACCAAAATCACCGGTACCCCGACCGACAATACAACCCTAGTTTTGCGTCTCCCCACATTTTGCTTCAATGATTTTGTGGGCAAATTGTAAGAAGTGAAATTCCAACTTAGGATTTGATGTGCTTCTGAGAAGTACGCTGTCGAAGCACTAAATCCTAAGAACACGGATTGTGGAACCGTGTCTTCCATGACTACATTTTTGGTTAAGATAGTCATCAAGGGATTGGGAGGATATGCAGCTGAAATTTGGAGTATTTTTTCCCATCCATCATAATCAATTTTCACAGCAATAACGTTTCCACTTCTTAGATTAATTCCATTTTTGGTCAGACTGCTTATGGCTATAGGATATTGAACACTCGTGGTGACAATGGCGACGTGATTGTTGTCGGGTTCGTGTTCGTTCTTGTAGGTGTCTAACTCCACTGCCAGTTGGCGATAAACGCCACCTGAATCGAAAATGTTTTCGTTCATTCAAATACATAGGTCACCAAAAGTGTAAAAAGTGGAATTAAAAATGTCCTAACTCTGCCACAAAAACATTGTACATATGGATTTTTAAAATTTGTACTAAAAACTTTATAAATCTAAGAGCTCGATTTATATTATCATTTCGGAACAGAGAGAGTACTTAACAACCTTTCCGTTTGATTAAATAACACCAAAAAAATATCCTCATTTCGTCCCAGAAAAATAGTACACATTACAGTTTGTAAATTGTATTTTCTTTAGTACAATTCACAAATTATATATGAAATGAAACTATTTGTGTTGGGAGGAGAGGGAGTAATAACTATTTAAGATTATGATTGAGAGCAACATCATTAGTCCTTGATTTGGCCTTCTCCTTTTGTTTGGCCATCTTTTTAATATTATTAATTGCCTTGGATTGTTAATATATTGCCTTGGTTTCAACCAAGAAGTTCAAAACTAATCGATCAGCTTAAAATTTTTGAACCACTAGCGTATATGTATTAAGTCGAATTTAATAAAAACGAACCAAAATAAATAAAAATAAAAATCAAGTAAACGAGAGAAAAAATAAAAGAGACATAATATATAGTGATCACCTTCAGTTGATGGATCAAGCATTCCGATATAAGAACCGGAGCTCTCCGGCGGGGAAGCTTTATCGTCCGGTGCGAAAACAAACGCCATCCCATCACCGGAAATGCTGGAATTCGTCAGAAACCTGAAGGTAAAAGTGGTGGAAAAGGAGGCAGGCCAAGCTTCCTGAGGGTAACGAAACAACACCCTCGCAATCTGGTTATCTTGTTCATCTTCATCCGGGGTCAACATCAGGGTTCCATTTTCAGCTGAAACTGAACCCCAGCAAATCAACACGGTCTCCCGGTTTTGTTCACAAATCCCTGGATTGAATGACTCGAACGAGAAATTAAATGATTCCACAAAGGAATAATGGGATAGGAAGGCAAAAAGTAGTATCACCAATTTTATGATTGATGACATTCTTTTCTTTCTTTTTTTTTTTTTTTGGATCAACTCCCAATCTATGGATGCTACAAAAGGACCGAATGTATGTAATATTTATTGGAAAACTTACAAAGATCGATCTTAACCTTTTCATTTGGTTCTTGTGTTACTGAAAGACAAATTTTGGTATCACATGATTATTAGTTCAGTACTTCAGTTGGTATAATCCCCAGCAAAAAGGGAGATATCTTATTTTTGCGAGAAAAATCATTTTAATCACAATAAACTAAAAAGAACTGTAGTAGTAGGTTTCGGCCTCTTTCATTATATTATACCTATAAAAAAAAAGAAAGAAAAAAACCATAACAACTATCGCAATATATGTATTTATGTAAACAAGTGTCTTTGGCAGCCAAACAATAACTACAAAGAATATATTGCCGGTTAAAAAACTCATAAGAAATTAATTAATCCATGAAAGCCAAACAATAACTACAAATTTTTGTCTTTCCCTATTAATGTATAAAAGGAATTTTTGTGAAATTCTTGTATTTGTTTTGATCTTACGTTACGTAAGGTGTATCATATATTCACCAGTTTTAAACTTAGTTGAGAAAAAAATGTTGGTGCTTCATCTTGTCTTCTTTTTTAGCCTTATCCACTGGCAATAAGAAAACTTGGATGAAACGTCACAAATCCAAGCAAGAATGAGCATTTGTTTTATAGTATTTGTTTCTTTCTGTTGAATTAATTAAAGATTCATAACGATCTAGATCCATAACCCTCAGTGAGTGACTGATGCACGGGCAGAGTTTACAAACTTACGAAGATAAGTACCGGAAAAAGTTCAAAGAATATACCTCTTCGGTTTCAAAATAAAAGTTATATTTGTTGTTCTAAAATATTCGACAGAGATGTACAACTACTTGAAACACCCTCCCACCTGAATGTTTCTGAGTGATATCTTCCACAAAGCGAAATATGTCTTTCCATACGTGATGTATCAATCACCTTTCCATACGTGATATATCAATCACTTGAGTTATATTCAACTGAATTGTATCCACGGCATCTATCACTGCTGCTACTACTCTTTTCGAGTTGGTCAATTTTTTATTCTATAACCCTAAACCCCAGGGTTGCTCATTAGCCCTTTGCATCTCCTGACTGCCCTAAGAGTTAAGCTGATGACACACTTTCGAACTTCTTGAAGTTGAAGATCTTCCAACCTATCATTTTGCCTTGGAAAAATCACAGAAAAGTAGGCGATCGAGCCTACCAGGCCGGAGAAGTGGAGGATCAAGTAAATCTGGTTTACTTGTTGCCGCAAAAAACAAAGACACCAGTTAAAACCTCCACCCTGTCTAATTCAGTCAAAAATTGATTTAACTGCACGATCAGTCACCCCGGAGGCTACAAAAGCAATCGGGCCAATTCCCCACAGACATCCTCGCTTTTCCTCGTATTCATCCATGATGTCCACAAGGAATTGAGTTCAGCGCCAACTGAAGACAACGACTGTGATAACGCTTCTGAGTTGGAAGAAGATGGAAGTAGGCTGTCAAGATCATTTTAGGGCTTCAGAGATGCATTTCGAAATTGCTTGATGAATACTTGAAAGCTTTTCTGAAAGCCAGTTTTGAACAACTCATGTTGACAACCTGCGCCAGAATTTCATCTTCCTATTGCAATATTGCATTGACTTTGCAGCTATGGTAGCGAGCAAAGCTTTTAATCTGTTTAAAACTTCTGTTACGACCGTGCCCATCCAGTTTAATGAAGTTACAGTGAGACCAACCCTGGTTCGTTAGATGCTCGCTGACCTGACAGCATAAGTAAATCGACGATCACCCAACTGCAATTTCGTAATCAAGATTAATTCCAAGTAGTTTTCGTACATACATCCGGGGATATCATCTAAGGCGAGCTCATACAAGTCCATCTTTCCGGCATGCATTGTGTCTTTCAGAAACAGAGGATTGCTGATCCGACGAAGTTGAACTGGTGGTGTCGAGAAGAAAGTGACAGTGAAACAAAACAACTCTCAACTCCTCCCACCAATATCACTCCAAACTCCATCCAACTCTTTTTGACTTTGCAAAAGACCGACTCTTAATTGTCAAAAGAGAAAAAGGGTGAAGGAATCACAAACTTCAAATTTGTCAACATACTTTTTTAATTAAAAAAAATCACTTCGTTTCTTTTGGTCGGTGACACCCAACTTCAATTCACTACCTCTGAAGCTTTGTAACCACCCAAAAAAGAAAAAGAAAAAAACGCTCTGAAGCTCTGAGTTCTTGTAAGCAGTAAGAAAAAACAAAAAAAAATGCTTATAGTTTGCCATCTGGGCTAGGGCGGTGAATGATTGCTAGAAAATTTTGGCAGAGTTCGGAGGCAAATGCGGAAACAAAAAATGAGGACACACAATTCATGAACTTGAACTTGGAATGTTTCAGTAACACTCACATTTGGATTTCATGAAGTCTTTCGTGAATTGGAGGCCACGGTAATTTATAGACACAACGGCTCATTTACTTTCTTGCGAGTGTAAATGCATTTTCAACCTTCAACCAAGTTAAAACTTAAAAGCAAATCTACCAAAAGATACTTCATATATTATGATAATAATACATACTCCCCATCATCTAAATCTGCAAGAACAGGAAATAAATGGCAGGCCTACAATTCAAAATGCTATAACTGCGCTTCTGAAGCTACCAACTACAAGTGTCATCACAATTTAATTGGACACATTCTCTCCCAATCAAAAAAGAGCTCATTTAAACATTCAACAAGATAAGTCCAACACAGTTCTGCGAATTTTGACACTTTCATCTCGCTTGCATCTAAATGCCCTCCACTGACTTGTATTTAAGACGGCACTGCACAATAAAACGCACAAAGCAGTCAGGAATACAAAGAAATCGCCAGGACACACCATTAGAGGAGAAAGACTGTTGTCCTTTTGAAAAAGAACACACAGATTCTGAACGGTTATTAAAATACAGATTGCACACACAATAGCAGCTCAGCTCAACATTTTACCCAAATCGAACAGAAGTAAATCAAGCTCAAAAACAAAAGTGCTGGTTCAACCAAAAAAAAAACACAAAAACAGCAAAATAATAATAATAATAATATGCAAGTCCAGTGAGAAAAAGGAAGAAAACGTACTATAAGTAGACGTATCAATCTGTTCTGGCAGCTCCTTTATATCCACTTCAAACCTCTCCTGAACCTACAACATTTAAATCGTACAAGGAGTAAGATTTACTATCTCCAATAAAGCAGGGGAAAAATGCAGCAAAATACAAGACAAGCTACCTGATTGAGAACATCTGAATCAGAAGCAGATGAAACGAATGTGATGGCAAGTCCTTTTGTTCCAAATCTACCAGCTCTACCGACCTGTAATAATTGATAAAAGATACAAAAGGATTCAGCAACTGAGCTGCTCTTTCAGGGGCCTTAACAATCAAAGAGAGGAAAAGATAAGCTCACCCTGTGCAAATAAGTGTCAGCAGAGTCTGGCATATCATAGTTGATAACAATGTTAACCCGTTCAATATCAATTCCCCTGCCAACCAAATCTGTTGCCACGAGAATCCTCTTATGTCCCTCCTTGAAACCTTTGTAGCGTGTCAATCTATTCAAGTATCAAACAAATCAACCACGGGACTAGGCAACAATTAAATTAAAACTGCAAATGAAAAACATGACTAAACACCTACCTTTCTTCCTGGGACATGCCAGAGTGAATGCAGATAGATGGAAAATTACATTCCACAAGCAACTTATTCAGCTCCGCAGCTCTGTTGACACTTTTGACGAATATTACAACTTGGTTGAAGTCCAATGCATCAAGCAGATCATTCAGCTTCCGATTTTTCTCCAGCTCACTCAATTTGATGTAGTGCTGTCAATAAATAAAGTCAGAAAGGGGGAAAAAAAATTAAACGATAACCAGCACCAATATTGAAGACACGTACCTGTACAAGACCATGAAGGGTCAACTTCGCCTCGTCGTCCACATAGATTTCCATGGGCTGTAAGGAACAAATGTCACAGTAAAGCATATTAGCACCGTTCCTGAAGGTAATGCAATCCAGTACGAAATGAATGACGGATGACTATCTCCAGCATTGAAGCTGTGGTCCATCCGAATCAGCTCCTTCCAGAAACTTTGGATACCACATCAACTACACTGTTGCTATTGCGCCTAACTATCCAACTGAAACCCTCCAGAGAAGACTAGTAGTACAATCCCAGCCATAATGGCCTCGCTATTTTCTATGGAGTAAGAAAATATAACATAAAAATATCCTAAAACTATTGAAGAAATTCCAAGAGGATATTAGACCCAAACGACCGACTCTAACCCATCCCAGTTGACCTTAGACCCAATCCCATAAAAGGAACCCAGTTGACCTTAGACCCAATCCCATAAAAGGAACCGACGTGGAGGTTGGTCACTAACTTCTACAGCATCAGAACCATTTGCATCTGCACCCACCCCTTTTATAGAGAGATACTTTTGCAGCAAGGTGATTGACAAACACAATACACACGGTAAGCATATGGTGCTTCAAATACTGCATTCTCGGGCATGAAGAAAGGAGGAATAATGTAAAAGGGAGACGTCAAAATTCAAGTAGAACTGGCCACAGGACATTACATCTTGCATGAACTTCTTGCAAACTGGACGGATCTCCTTGCTGAGGGTTGCAGAAAACATCATAACTTGCTTGTCATGGGGTGTCATCTTGAAGATTTCTTGCACATCTTTCCTCATGTCTGCAACAATCCAACACCATTAAGTTTTCATTTAAGTTAAAAAAAAACACATTAGGATGAAAGCCATATATTTATCCAACAACAAAGGATGCACACAGTGGAAAAAAGTGTACCAAGGGACTCGAGCATCTTGTCACATTCATCCAGAATGAAATGCCTCACATTCTTTAGAGACAAGTCCTTCTCTCTGGCAAGTGCAAGGATCCTTCCAGGTGTTCCAACAACAATATGTGGGCATTCATTCTTCAATATCTCCTTGTGTGTCTTGATGTGGACACCACCATAGAAAACAGCAACCTTTATCTCTGGGAGATACGTACTGAATCGTTCGAATTCGTGACAAATCTGCATGGATGGAAGACCAAAACGGTAAATTAACTAGCACATTATCAAAATTAAACCCAACCAGAACAAAATAGAAATTTTCAGAGATGGAAAATATACTAATACAAACCTGATAAGCCAATTCTCTGGTATGGCACAGAACAAGTGCAGTCACTTGGCCAGCAACGGGCTCAATCTGTTGCAATGAGGATAGAACAAATACAGCAGTTTTTCCCATTCCCGATTTGGCTTGGCATATAACATCCATGCCCAAGATTGCTTGAGGGATGCACTCATGTTGAACTGATGAAGAACCAAAGAAATTGCAGCCAAGGCCTCAGTTTCAATTTAAAAAGTTTTACCATTTTAGTTCTCCATAACAGGAGTTGAGGGTGGAACTAGTGATTTACCTGCAAAACAGGGGCAAAGTAATTTAGGGACCTTCTAAAGGGAACTAGACAAAACAGCATGTAAGCAGGATCATTTTCGACATTATTCCAGTTGCCAACAGGGAGAATAAATAGTATAAACCAGTTGTCAATAATTCATCTAAACCATGTGGTAGAGTGAGTACACTTCACTCGATATCGAATACTCAATATAGATTATCAAAAAGTTACATAATGCAATAACCTACACTCAACAAACAAGGAAACCATCAACTATTTTTCGTCAATTTTTTTGCTTCCTTTAATAAAACAGAAAAAAACAAGGTCAATTTCTCTTCAATCTAAAGAGGCAGCTCGAGAGTTTAAAAATTTACAGATAAGCTCAAAATCATGGCATAAACAACAGAAATGGCAGTTTAAAAACAGAGAAGGAACCCCAATTCCCTTGCTGAAAGCTATAAGGTTATAGAACAACTAATTTCATTCTCAAGCTACTTTTTCCCCTCCTAGTGTTCATGTTTAAATAAAAAAACAAGATCTCTGATTTGTTATTTCCAGCACAGAAAAGCTATCAACGCAGTCAAATAAAATGAAACAACAGAGTGACCAATCTTGCCTTCAGATGGATGCTCAAATCCAGAGTCAACTATTGCACGCAGAAGTTCAGGCTTCAACAGAAAGTCTCTGAATCCGGAACTGTGGATACCTACATAACCTCTGCATTTTGATAAAATTAAGAAAAGAGTTAGCAAAAGTTAATGTGGGCACAAGACTGTAGTAACCCAAGCAAATATCTCAATAACAGCATGCAGATACTTACAAAAGCCACCAATTGACCAATGTACATAGATGGTTCAAAATTCAACAATAAGTTCAAAAAGGTAGGCACACAAACATGTACACACTGATACAAAAAGAATTTGTGAACACTCCAAGGACCACAAACAAATAAGATACTTAGCCAACGGAAAAAAAAGGTAATCCAGTCAGCTCCCAACTGGTCTACATGTCCAAAAATATACTTAAAACTCTTAACCTCACTTTCTAAACACAACAACCAATTTAGTTTAACTCATTGGCAATGGAAAGGTACTCGAGATTCAGCTTTATCAGTTGTCCCCTTCAGAAAGAAAAATGAGGTCTATACATTTATTCAAACCAAAATACAAATTTCACAGGATTTCAACATTTAGAATGTTGAAGCTAAAGCCAAAGACAAGACAAGAAAAACACCTCACTTTCTAAACACAACAACCAATTTAGTTTAACTCATTGGCAATGGAAAGGTACTCGAGATTCAGCTTTATCAGTTGTCCCCGTCAGAAAGAAAAATGAGGTCTATACATTTATTCAAACCAAAATACAAATTTCACAGGATTTCAACATTTAGAATGTTGAAGCTAAAGCCAAAGACAAGACAAGAAAAACACACAACACAAAGAAATCTGCGAAAAAAAACAGGCATACAAGTAATACTAACCCTAGATTCACTTTCAAAAACCACAGTACAGCTTTCAGATGACAGCACATAACACAGTAATTTGGCAAAGTTTTTAGCTTTCAGTTGACAACACATAACACAGTAACTTGGCAATTCCGTAGAACACACATACAAGTGACCAACAATTAAACACCTATATCAACTAACATTAAACAGAAAAAAAAAACAGCTCACGAGCTACTCGGGGAGAAGCTAGATTTGAAAGAGAAGCTCACTTTTTGGCGGACTCGCCGTTGACTTTGCCAGTGACGGAGTCAGGGGCTTTCTCGTCATCTTCCTCGTAGTCGACAAGCTCCTCGTCTTCGTAAGCTTCGTTTTCCTTATTCTCACCCATTATTCCGCCGCTTTATTCGCTGAAAATCCACCATAAACACACAGATCGTGCCAAAAATTAAGCCTTTTGTTCGAGTATGCAATCAAATCAATTCACAACCAACGTACATCTCGAAATTTCTCAACCACCAAGTGAACTTTTTTCTAGAAATCCAGAAAGCAAAGAAGCTAGGGTTCTACGAGCAGGATAATTTTCCCGGACAAGATTTTACCTGTTGAATCTGCCGACAGAATTGGGCTCCGATAGAGCGTAAGGAAGAAAGGACTTAGATTTAGGGTTTACGAGCGTCTGCAGAGAGGAAAAGAATTTGAAACGATTGAGAGAGAATATGTTTTGAGGGACGGAGAGAGATAGGGTTTTCCAATGGGGAAGATGCGGTCTTTAAATAGGAAGACACTGTGGGATCTGATTGATTGGACGATTTTATCCTCGTGATTTGTTCATAGTTACGACGATGCCCCCGAGGAAAATCTTTTTTTTTTCTTTTAATTTTGTGGTTTGAATTTTATGAGAGTTAATATTTGTTTAGTCTTCTTTTTTATTTAAACTTGCAGCCAGAGTGTTATTTTGAAACATGTTTGTATATGTACCTTCGGATCATGGGTAATTGAGTAAAATTTTGTTTTTATGACATGATGAATGATAAAAAAAAACTAAAAAAAAATTAACCAAACAGTTGAAGTGTTTGTTTGTTTGTTTTTTTTATAGTTTCATCCCAACATATTTTTTAAAATTCACAATAGAAAAAACATCTAGTACTTTTTATTAGGTAGAGTATGTAATTGTTTCTCTTGAATTTGCATAATCCCTAAATTATTATGTATATAAAAATTGAGTAGTAATGCATACAGGAAAAAATTACAAGAAAAACTTACAAGGAATGCTTCGTTAATCATCTAAGTATGCCCTAACATTAAATGGTTAAACTCCGGATGGAAAATATTGAAAATGAATAACTATGATCAATTCCTTGTCATTTTTTCCATATAGGTATCATTATTCATAAAAATTTGGCATAGTAGGCTTTTCCATACAGAATTTTATTTCAAAAAAAGGGACAGTATATTTAAAGTATTATGATAGTACAAAATATATAGTGATGGTTTTTTTGAAACGGTATATATAGTGATGGTGAATTGCATAAATATCTAATCCAAGGTCCATATCCACCTGGAGATATACAATTAATCAGTCATATCCTATCCTGAAAGCCTCCCTGCGATACATCTTCCTGAAACCAATATTCTGCTGAATTAAATCTTACTTTACCATTTTGGCGTTAGAATGGCAACAACTCCATCTTTTCATCCAATCAGATTGCATCTCCTATCTACACAGAAGCTTGCAGGTGTGTGTGTGTGTGTGTGGTGAGGAGACATTTTCTTTCCTGTGATTCTCCAATTAATTCTCCATTGTGTTCGCTCTGTGTATAGGTTCTTGTGGCATCAACTCAAGCAATCAGAACAACCTCAGGGGAGAAAGATTAAGCTTTTTCAGAATTAAGGCAAGTATTCATGTTCATTAATTCACTTTTAGGAGTTAATTTGAGTACTCGAGTGTGTTTATTGTATGATGAGTACTTGACGAAAGTTGAACACGATGGCGATATACGATTCATACATGAGTTTTACTGATTAAGTTGTTAAGCCTCAGCTGGTTATCTTGTTTTACATTTCCTCAGGCAACCTCTGAGGGTGCAAACAGCAGAATCTTGATATGATTAAATTAAATATGTTAACCCTTTCTTTTTTCCTTCTTCTCATTAGGCTTCCAATAATGATCCAAGCACCAAAAAGAAGAGTGTTCTGTTATGTGGAGAGTGTGAAGGAAATGGTGAGTTATGACTAATTTAATCTGGTAACAGTTAACCTAATCCAGCTGATTCATGAAATTGCGTTTTTACTTCAAAAATAATACAGTATAACCAAAAATAAATAAATAAAAAAAAAGAACCAGTTGGAAAATTAGAATTTTATGGTCACATAGAAAATGGCCAGTTGACTGATATTTCCCCGTGTTTGGTAAACTAATTTGGGACTTTGACAGGAGCTGTTGCCTGTTCACAATGCAAGGGCACCGGAGTGAATTCCGTTGATCATTTCAACGGCCAATTCAAAGCCGGTGATTCATGTTGGCTCTGCGGGTAATTCACTATACACTAGTTCTAATTATCAATCACTGGTGGACGATTTTGAGGGTTAAGTATATAGATCGAGCTTCATCATCATTTTCTTATTTATTTTCCTGGCTTGATTTTGGTCATACAGGGGAAAGAAAGATATGTTATGTGGAAATTGCCAAGGAGCTGGGTTTCTTGGAGGCTTCATGACCACATCTGACACTTAAAATCATCAAGAGGCCTTTTGTATGAATACTGTGTATCCATTTGATTTTACAGTTCAATTTGTATTCTGACTGTATTTATTAGGATGTAAAAAGCTACAGTACAATTAAAGAAATGCAACATGAAGAAATGGTAAGCTTAGCCAGACAGAACCTGAAACCAGTTTTATTCATTGATGATCATCTGTTTCCTGAACTGTACTCTTCAACAATCTTGTATAAAATCACTCATAGTTTTCTGAAGCAAACGAGTGGCATCTGATTCAGGATGGAAAATGTTAAAGACATGAGATTCCTCTTCAGCTTCAATCAGCTTCACTTCTTTGACACCTTTCTTCTTTAAGAAATCTGCATACATGACTCCCCTTTCTTTCAAGAAATCCAGCCCCGCCACGAAAACCAGCACCGCCGGACAAAATTCCCTCCATTCTTCCTCAGAGAGCTCGGTATTCTCAAAATTGCATCCAAAGTAGTCGCGATTTTGCCCTTCCGGCAAGCTCAGTCTCCAAAACATGTCGTTGGAATGCACGTGTCCTTCGGATCCTGGAGCCAGTTCAAGTTCTGTTCGCTTTTCACTGCCAAAGTAAGGATGGATTGGGATCAACCCTTTGATCTCGAGACCATTGAACTTCTGCCTAACAGACCGGGTCGCGACCTGGTGGACGATATTGCCCCCCGCGCTGTCGCCCGAGAGAAAAACCCTGGAAAGATCAGCCCTTTGAAGCCATGGATCAAGCGTCGCATTGTTGCATAGCCACTCTAGTGAGCTACAGCAATCGTCGTAGGCTGCCGGGAGTTTATTTTCTGGGGCGAGGCGGTAGTCCACCGAAAGGACAATTGACTTAGAAATGCCTGATAAGTCTCCAAGAAAAAAATGGTAGCCCAGCCAGGTTGTGGAGCCGATGCAAAATCCACCGCCATGAAAATAAACCACAATGGGGAGGAACTTACTCTCTGATTTGACATCAGGGATAAATATTCTACCTGTTAGATTCTTTGTTGGGTCAATGATGACATCTTTAGATTTGTACCCGTTGGTGTATGATCCGCAAAATGCATCAATAGTTCCAGGCGAAAATCGATTCACGGAACCATCTGAAAATACTTGGAGAAAACCAGGCGATTCATCGACAATAGACATTTTTGTGGGGGAGCTATATATTGTGTTATCCTAGTTGTAAATTTGGTTCACAATTCCCAGGGGCTTAAATACAAGTTTTGGTAAGAAAGAATGTGATGATGATGAGTTAAAGAATGCAAACTTCTGTAAATGGTAAATCGTTTAGGTGGATCATGAGAAGGAGGAGGTTGGTGTCTTGGAATGGGAGACAAGTATTGATTTGGTGGAAAAGAGGTGAACTAATCAAATTACATTGGAGGTTAAATCAGAGGAGTTTGATGAGAAAGATAATACAAAAGTCTGGTTCCAACTGCAAATTTTTAACTTCAATATGATCAAAGCAGTTAATTGATCCTTTTAAACACTAAACAATGACTCCATCTGGTCCTTTAGGGAAAGGAATTTGGACTGTACATACAAAAGCTATGATTCCATCTAACATAGTTCCATCAATGATATTCACCAAACACACATAAAGCACCAAAATAATTGCTTCAATGAGTGACAAAAATAAAGTACAAACAGAATTTATGCATAATGTTTTCCTGCGCTTCCTTCAGGGGAGGTGGCCATGGTCTTCTTTTCAATCTTCAGTTCTTATCAATGCTTCTTCTTCCCAATGAGAGTCTGGTTATTCCTCCTGAACCGAGTGATCAGAGGGTAAATTTTCTCGAAAGCAGAGTAGATTTCATCCCTAACCTTGGCTCCGGTGATCACAACTTTCCCCGACGCGAAAATCAGCATGACGACTTTGGGTTGGTTCATCCGATAAATCAATCCCGGAAACAGCTCGGGTTCATAAGTTGAGGAGAGTCCCGTGGAGTAAGAAAGCCCTTCGAGCCCGACGGCGAATTTCACGTCGCAGGAACCGACAATGTTCTGAATCTTGAAGTTCTTGAACTTGACATCGGGGAACCCAAGCTTGTGAATGATCCTGGCGTACTTCCGGGCCGCCAGCTCCGACTGCTCCTCGGTCTTGGCGCCCGTACAGACCATCTTCCCGGTGGCGAAGATCAGGGCGGTGGTTTTGGGCTCCGTGATCCTCATAATCACGGCGCAGAAACGCTTGGGGTTGTACTCAGCGTTTCTGGCTTGCAAAGCTATGGATTTCAGGTCCAGTTTACAGTCTAAGTTAACGGTGGAAACGATGTTCTGGAGAGTGGGAACAATTCCGGATGGATGGTTTGAGAGATCCACTTCTGGTGATTCCATCTCCATGATCTCGATCACGCAAGAAAAATAAAATTTGTGGATTGATGATGAATTCTCTAACTGCCGCTTCCTTCTGAGATGAAGATGGAAAGACTACAAGTTTTGGGGGATATATATATAGATTATGTAGTCGGTGAGATTGCATATCCAAGTGTTTTTTGGATTCGGTTTAATAGTGTTTCCGATTCCTAGTCACATTCGGATTCAGAAGAAATTTCCTTTTCTTTTATTTTATTTATTTATTTGCTTATTTTTTTGTAATTTTTTACTGGAAGGATTAAATGTGATTAACTGAAACAAAAATGAAGATCTGGAAGATATAATCTCTATGGGCCACGATTTGCCAGTGAAACAACTAGTAAGGATTCGTCGTTTAGGATATTAGAAATCTTTTAGATAGGGAATGGCTTGTAGGGGAATCAATTTTGCGGTTGATTCGTTGGTATTGATTGTAGTTTCGGCTATAGTCTGGCGCTGGCTCGATCATGATGTACTTGGGGTTTAAAACCCCTGTGGTTTTTGTTTATGTATTATAGGCTATGCCTCCCTTTTGTTTCGAAAAAGAAAGAGGTTTTTTCCAAGGAAAAAGAAAAACGAAAGAAAAATTGTGAAATAGGAAAAAACAAAAAGAAGACGCGCCAGGTAGGGGTCGAACCTACGGCCTTCTGCTTAGGAAACAGACGCTCTATCCACTGAGCTACAGGCGCCCTTGATGTTTTTGCTAGCACAAAATTTTAATTAATAGTTTCGGTTACGTTGATCCCATCTTCATCTCCAGCACGCAACTTTTATACATCAATTAACAAGAGATTCATACGGCGGATGGCAAAGAATTGTGATGCATAACACAAATTGTACATAATTTGAAATTGAGTGGCTAATCTTACAGATTTAATAGCCACCGAGTATTGGAGGATACAAACACATACATTCTCATTTAAACTGAAAGGCTTATGCATTCCGTCCATAACACACAGTTTGGCCAGCAAAAGTAAAGCTCATATTCTGTCTACAACAAAAATATACAAAAACCATCATTAGACCACTGATACATCTCTTTTCTAAAGGGTAGAGCTCCAAGATTACTGCTATATTACAGAGAAGGAAAACCAGAAAAAGCTAAAAATACAACCAAGGGTTTCGTTTCATAAATAGTTAAAGAGTAGTAGAATGTCTTTTGTTACTTTGCTTCTTGTTCAACGACATGGATTCTCCTCCAAACTTCTTCCAACTCGTTATTTGTTTGCATAGGTGGCAAAGAAAACACGCCTACGGTAGAACTTCCACTGCGAATTTGCTTCAGTACCTGATAGGCTGAGGCAGTAAGTCTCAAGTAGGTGTTCTCCATATGCTCGATTTCTGTAAGATCCTCGGGAATTTGAAGGGTGCTAGAACTTTCTTTAGAGCTTTCGTTTGTTTCAGCTGTTACCGCCTCGGTTGGTGGTGCTGATCGGCCATTCAGGGAGAACAGGTGATCCCACATTGTCTCGCACTCCTTCACAAGTTTATTTAGAACATCAAATCTAACAAACGGTTCTTGGAGAACCTTTTGAATGAAAGGCACGCGGGTAATTGCACCACTTCGCTTGTCATATTTCTTTAAAATCTTTGCTAATCCTGCAAATATCAAACAAAACAAAGGAAAGAGATCATCAGCCCACATAAGTGGCGAACACTTTACGAGCTGGATAAATAACTAACACTGTCTAGTAGATGCAAGTTTTTCTTTCTCAGAACCCTCTATATCAGTCTGCATAGAAGAAAAGCTTTAGCAACTCAAGAATCCACACACTTCGGACTCATTTCTGAAAGTAAATTTCCCTTCATTGTCAAATACAAGACAGAGATCATGCGTGTCTATCAGCACATTAGACTTCCCAACTAAGCTATTTATTCTATAATACTGTTGAAAATTACCACAATAGTCTGAAAAAAAAAAAGGTAGAACATTTCAAAGTGGACAAATTCAACTTCAGTTTGAAGACATATAGACAAACAAGATTACTTTGTCCAGCCCAGACTCTAAATCCTAACTCAAATTTTCTAGAATTGAAGAATTTACGGTTAAAACTAGTTGCACCATCTGGCTTACAAAAATCGCTATCATCTTTTATAGGGAAGGAAGTTTGACGGGTATCAGAAAAAGAAACTTAAAATAGAGCTCATCAACTCAGTATCATCAAATTGGATTGGTATAAAAGAAGAAAACATAGGAAAGATTCCTGAGAAAAGCTAGGAGAATTTCAGTTTGAGTAGCCAGTTAATCATTTCATAATCCCCTGAAGGCTAATAACAAACATCGAGATTCTATTTATCATCAACAAGAACACACAACAGTTGTGACTCTGAACAATCCACCAACCAGATGAAAGGGTATTAAGAGTCAAGTACCAGTGTAATTAAGGACACTATAATTTTCCAATAGGACAACCTCCCCGTAGAAATCAACTATCTGTTGCCCTACTCGAAACAGCTCTACCTTCGAAGACCTGGCCTCTTTGACCCGTTCTTTTAAAACCTGCACAGAAAAAAGCCACTAAAAACGGTCATCCACCATAACAGTGACATTCAAAAGTTTCCACTAGAAACATTATCCACAAAATTGCAACTGTATTCTTTTTGGATACACAGTTGAACACAGTACAGATCAGAAGGACCCCTGCAGATCAATTTCCGTTCATAATCATCAAATGCAAGCAAATCTTCCCTTACAATTCAATCATACTATCGAATGAAACAGCCATCATAACTGAATCCTTTATCATTCCACCATTATGAATAACACATCTCATCGTCAATTTTATCAAACACAGTCTTTTCTCATTTCATTAAGTTACCATTAAAAGATAGAAAACACCTTTCTTTCTCCAGGGATGCAGGTACAATGACAACAAAAGCATAGATTTTCTGGGACCATACTCCAAAAAAATCAAAGGGACGCGAAGGATATTACATACAGACATATACAAAACAAGCTTCTAGTTCCACTTACAACACAAAAGAAAGAAATAACACGCAAAATCGAAGCCTGCCAAGAGAAATCCGGAAGAACATATACACAAACTTCGCAGCATTCCAATGTAAACATAATATCCTCTTGCAAACACTATGGAAATCTTATACCAGAACAGAAACACAGAGAATGAGAAAGATCATACCCCTGATTGGATAACATACTCTTCTTCTTTGTCCATAAAGAAAGCATTAAACTTGATAATCTCCTTTTCCAAAAGCTTCACAAAATCCACAACCTCCTTGGTCTCTACAACCGCCTCATCATCATCATCATCATGATCCACCAAAGGTCCCAATTTTACCCTTTTGGTTGGCCTTCCAGCATCAGTAGTACCCTCCTTGGGATAGATCATTTTGAGCTGTTTCTTCAAATCCTTGTAACACAAAAACTTGTCTCTCCAATCCGGCAACGTCTGCTCGATCGACCCTTTCAAAATCTTACAGAATTTCATCTTTTCTGCAAAACTAATAATTTGCCACTCCTCCTCAGAACAAACACAACTTTTGGTATTGATTGATAATTGATTGGATTTTGTGAATCCAAAATGAAGGATTATATACTGTACAAGAGATGACTGGGTGGGGGTCAGTCGGTTAGGAGGAAGCATATTCCCTTCATTGTATGTGGGAGAATTGGAATAAGAAAACAAAATTATATATTTTTATTGCAAACCGCCCCCTTTAAATTTCTCTTAATCTGCAAAATAACATTTAAATGTCTACAGCATTTTTTTTCCCCATCCGTCTTCAATGGTAGGTTTCAGTTTCATTTTGTAAACTAAATTAAAGATACATACAGTATTATCTTCTTAATATATGCTCATTTCGATCCTTATTATAAGATATTTTAATTTATTCTAAATTTCATTCGTATTTTTTTAACTGATAATAAAATCTTAAAATTGCATAAAAAATATATTTAAGGTTTCTTTTTCAATTGGAAGAACACGATAATGAAATTTAGAAAAAATCGAAACGTTTTATAATAAGGATTGGAAGGAGTAGTTCGGCAAGAAGGGTTTAGAGTGGTCTAACTAATCTACTTTGTCAAGGATTTTAGAAATTAGAATCGTGAGTTGTTTTTTTCCCATACTCAATCGTTAGGATTAAAAAATTATTTTACTAAAAAATTATCAAGTTCAAATTAGTTTATTGCATGATCTAAAAGGAAAAGTGGACACACTTATTTGGAAGCATGGAGTGATAATTAGTTATTCTCAATTTCTCTCAAAATTTGAAAATATTTATTTATATTTCGTTGTCTTTGGAAAACAAATGCTAAACCTAATTTTAATGCGTTTTTTGACCATTTGAACCCCTTTTCTCATATTTCTTATTATTATATCGTTTTTTATCAAAACATTAACTAATACTACCTATATCGCAATGTGAAAAAATAAATTCCAAAATCGGACTAGTTTTTTTGGGGCAGAGGGAATAGATCACAAAAAGCACAATTTGTGAGCGAATTCAGAAGTTAGGAGGACTCCATTGGTGGTAACAAAATAAGAAGACACAAAGATGCCTAAAGTGGTATAATGGAGCTTTTAACAAAGATTTTGCAATTGTAAGAAACTTGAGGGAGTAGGATAAAAGAATAATAAGAGAATCAAGAGGCATTGTTTAAAAATCCTAGGACGGATATTCCAGTCTTTGGCGGATAACTGTGAATATTCTTTCTTGGTTTGACCGTACAATCTTTTTATTGCTTGGCCGGCTGTTCCTTCTTTCCACACACATATATTCCGATTATTATTCCATCACAAAACTATGTTCTAGCCTTCTAGGTGTCCCCATCGAGTTGAATGGATTCTTTTCTAATTATGGCTTTATTATATGAATAGTGATACGTATAGGAAAAAAATAACAAGGAAAATTTACAAGGAATAATGTGTCAAATATCTAAACTATATCATAACTTTAAATATTTAAACTTTGTATAGATAATTTTTAAAATGAATGGATGAGATCAATTTCTTGTTATTTTTTCTTATAATTTTCCCTTGTACCAATCATTATCTTTACTATTTCCAGCTATTCGATTACCTCTCAGGTCCAAGGTGACTCGAATTGTTCTTTATTAAAACTAATTATAAAAAAAAAACATTTTACCACTGAATTCTGCCTTGTACACAGAATAATCCAATTTCATGTTCGCACCAAACTTTTTTTTTTTTTGGTTCTTTGAGAAAGCACCAAACTTTTAGATTGTTGATTAATTAATCAAGCAAAAATAGTAACAAAAAAGCTGACTGCATGATGATGTATTTTATTGGATTCATCCCAAATTTCAATAAAAGATTAGATAAAATGATGTGAACACATCAAAATTAAAAGATTATTGTCGTTTCTTTTTGTTATTTTATTCTTTTATTTAATTATGTACTACTTTTGGTATGATCTTGTTATAATTTTTTTTATTTTTTATTTTCTGGGTGTCCTCTTGTGGTAATTTTTGAAGTGGTACAAGAGATGAATTTAGATGTCTTTAATTTACTACAGCTTTTCATCTGAACAAATTTCCATCTCCCTTTAAATGATTTTTCTGAAATTTTGTAAAAAATTCCGCCCACTCTTTTGGCATTTCAGAATTCGTCTCAATAATAAAACACATACATTCCAGCATACTCCCAATCACTTTAGCTTCCCCTCAAGCCTGAAAGGGACGAAAATCGTACTATTACCCCCATCAAAAACAGCATAAGCTCCCCAAACTAGTGAAATGTTGGAAAAAATACGAAGAATATTCGCAAAGATTAAGGAAAATCATAAGAAGAAAAATTCGAGGCTCGTGAAAACATGATCTCGTTAAAACAGATTTGCCCTCTTCTAAAGTGCTTGAGGATCACGAGCAATTGTTTCCTAGGATACAACGGAAACGCAAAGACTATTTAGCACAAAACAACTCTACAAGCGAATTAGAACTTAGAACAAATTGATGAACATCGAAAATTAGAAGGAAAGAAAGACTCAAAAGAATCTGAGAAGAGATGTGAGAAAAGGTGTGTTAAACTTCAGAAAATGAGTGTCTATTTATAGGCTGAAGAAACCTTTCAAATGGCAGAAAACCTTGTAACAGTTTCAGTATTTTAATTCTGTCAAATGCAAAAAATTCATGGCACAAAAACTCCAAAATATTTTTGACCAGCCCAACAGTCAAATGAATTCATTTCTGCCTTTTAATATAATTAAATCTGCCAATTCATACTGATCATTCATGACAGCAAAATAATTGCAACGTTTCAGTTTCATTTTGACTGAAATAAATGAATATAATTCTCCATTTAAAATTTAACTAGAAAAAATTAATTCGATTCGGAGCAAAACGTAGATTGATCAGGCCCGCGAGAGTTCGGTTCGGCATTCGTGTCCGCAGGTCTTGCGCACACATGAGCCAAGCTATTTTGGCCCCAAATCGGACCTCCATTTGCACCCCCTCCCTACGCACACATGAGTCAAGCTATTTTGGCCCCAAATCGGACCTCCATTTGCATCCCTCCCTACGCAGGCGCACGCGAACGGGAGAGATGTGGTATAGTATTGACAAGTCAACTTGTAAGTCAATTTTGGGCTCTCACTTATAAAGTGAGCTCCAACTCTTCCTAACACCAATGTAAGACAAAATCCTTTAACCTTAACTCTATTTTTCCAACTCTTGAGAAACTTAATTCTCATTCACTTACTATTCATTTCCAACATAAATTACATTCTTATGATTCCACCGAATAGAAAATTATTTGATCCATGAACCTCTAACTGCTCATCCAAAGCTAATTAGTGTCTGGTTTCTGGCCCATACATACATATATGAGAAAAAGAGTTTTGTGAAGAATATTTTCCCTGTGACTTGTAAGAAACTATATGGTCAAGAGTGGATGAAAACATTGGCATTTAATTCTATCGATATGTTGATGATAAATTTGATGAATGTAGAATTAGTTTCGTCGCATTATGAGAGGCAATGCAATGCAAAATTCTATTCTACCAACCCCTTTTGAGAAACAAAAAATATGGAAATATTTAGCTAACTTAAGCGGGTGGTAACTTTGAAAGATGAACAAATCAAATACTGTACTTTTTTCGTCTCAGAAAAATTAATAGTATACTTGGTTTGAAATTTATACTAATTTTAATATAAACTTTAAAAACTCAATGTTGAGGTTTTTAATTTTTTCTTTTTTTAGACAGAGGGTGTATTTAATAATGACTGGGAATGGAATAGTTTAAACTACAACATGAAATTAATAGATGTACACTAAGAAAAATTATAATAAGAAAAATATTATTGGAAAAAAACATATAGACTCCTCCGTCCCAAGGAAAGAGTATATAAATTATTTGATCTCTTCTCTTCTCTTCTCTTCTCTGCAAGGCGTAATCACAAAACCAAACCAAACCCTAGACGGCCAGTTTCTTGAAATGAATTTTCTTTCCTTTGGATTCTTAAGTTAATTTCCTTCCCTACTTTATTACTACCCACCCTGATCGATATGTTGCAATTTAATTATGGAACCGATAGTGATGGATTGGTCGGCTCTTTTACAGGATCTCTTGGTCGAGATTGCCCTAGCTCAACCACTGTAGAAGATTTCATGGCGTTTAGAAGGGTTTGCGCCACCTGGCGATCCGCTGCCGCCCAAGTTAAATTCATCCCTTCATGCCCAACACCTCCATTGCTTATGTTGCCCGAAGAAGAAGAAAAAGAAGAAGAAGAAAAAAAAGAAAGCGACGAACGAGAGTTTTACAGCGTATCAAAAGGAAAGGTTTCCATGAGATTATCCCTCCCAGAACTCAAAGGCAAATTTTGCATCGAAGCCAGGTTTGGATGGCTGTTAGCCATCACGGATGAGGGAGACGATGTTATTTTGCTGAACCCTTTCTCGCGTTCTCAGATTAAGCTCCCCAACTTTCAAACCTTTCTTGAGCCCGAAGTAATTGCTGACGAGGAAAGCGAAACCATTGAATATTATCGTTATACAATAGAGAAAGCAGTATTGTCACAAAATCCATCCCAAAACCTTAAATGATTTTATATTAATGGCCATGCACTGCTGTGATGTAGGGCTGCTATGCTTCTGGCGGCCTGGAGATACAACCAGCTGGACCAAACTCGAATCCCGTAAAGGTACACCACACGATGTGAGTTACTACCAAGGTACCTTGGTGGACGTGAATTACTGCAATGGAAAGTTTTACGCAATCAATGTTTTCGGACATATTTGGGGTTGGGATGGTAATATTAATACACCACCAATTTTGGGTATGGGATGGTGATTATATGCCACCAACAATAACCTGCAGCCGCCCACAATATTTCAAGCGTGTAGATGATGACGGCCGACATGCCCGAATACATGGAAAGCTATTCTTGGTGGAATCGGAAGGAGGAGGAGGCCATTTGTTAATGATTACGCGTGATCTTGATTGTGATAACGAGGGTTCAGGCGAGATTTGTTTTTGTAATGAGCACCGCCGGGGGACCAAGAATTTCAATGTATACCGATTGGATACAGTAAAAGGAGGCAGTTGGGAGGAGATCACCAATTTGGGAGGCAATGCTATATTTGTTGGAGATAATGCAACAAGTTTAATTCCGTGCATGGAGGGTCATAGGTGCGGAATTAAAGCTGATTGTATATACTTCACGGATGATTCTTGGGATGTCTTAGCGGAGGATGATTTCATCAGTATGGGAGTTTATAATGTTCAAGATGGAAGCATGGAACGTTTTCATGGTGTTAACAAAGACACGGAAAATTTTATTATCATTTCCAGGGAAGTTTCCTAACTTGGGTCCGTCATATTTCATTTTTTTATTATCATTTCTTGATGTCTTTTTGTCAAAATTTTATTCTTTTCTTGTTTCTTGATTGTAGATGTGCCTGTTTCTGTTGTGTGTGTGTGTGGGTAATGCCCTGTTTCTGTGTGTGTGTGTGTGTGTGTGTGTTTTTCACAGAGCATTTTTTTTACATACGGGGTTTGCAGCCAGCAGCGTTCGCCGTTTGCCGTTCAGGGGACTCCAATTTGCTATTGAGGTGACTGGAAAATTAACTGAGACTGCATATTAGAGACTTAATCCATGAGTTGAAGTTTGCTGTAATGGAAGCAATGGAGGCCTATCCAAGGCAAAGTACCAGGTTCAACAAACTCTAAACTGTATATATAACAAAACCCCTAATGTGATACTTTTTGTTTCTACATCAACTTTTAATGCAAAGTATTCTTTGGTTATTTCTCTGTCATAGCAATGGCAAAAGAGGTCCCTCCCGTTTTATTGGACGAACTAAGGCCATGTATTATTACCTTTTACTATCCTTCGCAGAGGATTAAAATTATTTAGTCATTTACAAACTGTATGGCCACAATTTTCAATAATGAATGTACAATTTTTTTTATTTATATTTTTTTTGGTTTTATGTATTTCTTATTAGTTGTATTTTAAAAATCATTTCTACTATATAATGGAGCTTACAATTGACTTTCTATTTACATAATAGTCTAATTTATTCACGCCATTAGACAATTGTTTTGAACCATAATAGTGGATCGTAATAGTCTAATTCACATAATAATAATAATAATCTAATTTATCTAAAATCTTATCATACCATAAAAAAGAAAAAAATCTTCGTTAATATTTTTTGAAGATCTCAAGAAATACCCAGTTCGAAGTATAGTGTTAGGCTCTTACGCTCTTTTCTTTTCCTTTGACAAAGAAAAACTATTAATATATACAAGTATGTCGTGCAATATGATCACGTTAATGGTGGAAGAAAATTACAATTTACGTGGTGATTTTAAGTGTCCAATGATTATAATTTAGAAATTATGAATGATGCTTTTTTTGTTTTCTCTCTCACTTCATATCACATTTCTTGTCAGCTTATTGGAATTGGATATTACAAATTCTTTCAATCCTTCTCTCGCTATCTTCCAAGCAATCTCATCAATCATCTTCTATAAAATCATCAATGGAACCCCAGTCATCATAGTTCACACTCTTTAGCATAGTAAATTAGCTCTTTAAAAATGAAAGGAAACTCTTTAAGATCAAATTAATAGGTTTGTTATGCCTCATGCTCAGAAACTGTTACAAAGGCTACAAAAGAGGAATCGATTTGGGAAGAATTGTAATAGCTGATGCCAAGTTGGTTGGATTTTGGTTACGCTTCTGTTTATGTATAAAATTTGTAATAGAAATTTAATTCTTAATCATATTGAGTTCCTCGATTAATCTCAAGAGTACTACACACCAATTAACGTCTAAACTCATCACTATTTAACCAACGACTTGCATATATAAGGACCTTGGATTATTTATATATATATATATATATATATATATATGGACACACAAATTATTTATATTGTTCATTTTATCTTTCTCTCTCTCTCTCTCTTTTTTTTTTTGCTTCAATGAGGCATACAAATATTCTCCCTTTGTCCCAAAACAATTATTTAATTTAAATTTTTATATTTCATATAATTTGTAATAAAAGTGAAAATATAAATTGAACAATCATTTCGGAACATAGAGAATATCATTTTGAGTGTTCGATCTAATAATTACACTGCATGTGCATGGGGGCATTGTTAATTGTGAATCTGGATAAGAAATTAGGTTGACTTTCCAAATTCATATGCCACCACTTGTAAATTTGTTTCTCCAATCTATAATTTAAATCATCTTCCGGCAGCCAGTTCATGTGTTGTTGATTGCAAGTTGCAAATTATGGGAATCATTTTAGAGTAGTGATGATCGAGAGAACTTGATCAGATGGTCCATCAACATTGAAATTTTATCTATGTCATCTTAAATTTTGAAGAATGTTCAATCCTGCCCCTCAACTACCATTGTCTTTATAATGTAGTTGATTGGGTATGTAGATTTGGTAATATATCTAGCTAACACTAATTCCATATGCTTAATACAAGTGTACTATATGAGTTTGACAAAGACAAATTATCTTGAGATTATTAATAACGTAGTACTTTTATTTTGATTGAATGTATTGATCAAAATTCTCAGATTGTCGGTCGCGCATATTATAGTAAACATTACTTATTATTTAATGGGTCTCATTTGTCTTGATTCAACTAAAATGCATGGAAGGACAAACTACGTAAAAAGTTTAGACCCAAAATTTAAACTTTTCTCAAGACAAGTGACAAACGCGCATCAGACACAAAAATTGAGGGATCATCAAATTAGCTAATCTTACCCGAATCCACAAAGTCAAGTCAACCGCACTAATTAATAAAAGAATCAAAGTTTTTTTAAAGGCAAAAAAAAAAAGAAAAAAAAAGAAGCAAACCGAGATAAATAGTTTATTTGAACTTGATTAATTAATTAGAGAGTCACGATCAAGTGGATGCACCGGCTAGGTAGCTATAACCATCTTCTTCTTCTAATATAAATATTCTTTAATTACATCTCATTAATCCATCAAAACAATCAAAACAAAAAATGGTTTTATTGTTTGAAGACGTGATAATGAAGAACAAGAAGAAGAGTTACATGAAGACTTATTCCATGATGGCCATAATGGCAGCCATGATGATAATGGCTTCATTGTTTGTTGAGGAAGCAGCAGCATTGCCGGAACCACCAGCAGGAGCACCGGTTCCGGCACCGGCACCCGCGCCGCCCATAGTAGTACCAGTAACAGTACCAGCACCAGTACCTCCACAAGCACAAAAGAATGAAATCCTTAAGTGTCGCAACTCTTGCGATGCTGCCTACAATTTTTGTGCTACAGAATTTGTTACGGAGGATTGCGATCAGTGGCGTAAGGATTGTTTGGCCGAGTGTAACAATTCTGGACAACCTCAGGCTTGAAGAACTCATTAAAAAAAAAAAAACATCTTTTGTTGAAATCATCTTGAGGTATTTAAATGTGATCTGAAAGAACCCCATTGATTTCCATGTATCACTGTTCTTATTTTTCTTTTGTATTTTGTTTTACGTTTTTTTTTTATTTTTATTATTAAAGGGAAATGGTGTAATGTTGTTGTTGTTGTTGTTGTTGTTGTTCATTTATTGTATCTCTCATATGCTATATTGATTTTATGGATCTTGTTTGTCATTTTGTTTCTGCCTCTATCACAATGTATCGGAATTCAGGTTATTTTAACTTGGTGCTTTAACAATTTAATTAAGTCCCTTTCAAGATTAGGATTTTGAGAGGGGGATAATAGAAAAAGAACTACTCCCTCCGTCCCATAATTATTATCCAGTTTTACTAAAATGAAAGATTTTATTTTTGGTCAAACTTAACTATATTTTACCTTAAACAACCGGATATACCCCTACATAAATAATTGTTTAACCACTAAGATTTTATGAATAATGTTTTTTACTAAGGACAAATGTGTAACTTGATTCATAAAAAGTCAAATTGGACAATAATTTTGGGACAAAATTTTTTGGGCAAAGTGGACAATAATTATAGGACAAAGGGAGTATTATCATTTTTCAGCAAAACAGAGCAAAATAGACCTTTACTCTCTTCATAAGGGAGTAGGTTCTTGACAAAAAGAAGCTACAAGAGTCCCCTTCATGCCAGTACGTCTCATTTTTTGCATCTTTCGTCCTAACACTATATACACCAAGGCTGGCATTTCACCATAAGTTTCTAAAACAATAAGTCACTGCAACAAAAAATTGGCTATTAATACCTTTATAGTGGGATACTTTTTCTAAAATGTGTCTCATTATATGTGTATTAGGACATTTGCTAAAAAGTGTCTTATTAAAAATAAAAAAGTGTATGCATATTATGAAACACTATCATAAGTGTACTATCTAGGATTGCTTGTGAACTATTACCCTACTTAATGGGTCACTTTAAAGTGTCTTAATAAGTGACAATCTAATAATACACTTTCAAATATTTTTTGACTTATTGTGACTCGATTATAGGAGTCACTATTTAGTAGTGTCTCACGCAATGTGAATCACATGTGTCCTATTACACTACTTATTGAGACATAAAAATGTGTCTAAACTACTCATTTTTGTTGTAGTGAGTGAAGAATGTGTGTTCTAAGCAGAGAAACACTTTCAAATGCGTTAGCAGTTAATCCCACATTGGCCATTGGCCGCAGCTTTCGTGGCAGCAGATGTGAAGGGGTCGATTCGCACCCATAGAAGGGAGAATATAGATGCCAACAGAATAGACCAGACGATGACAATGGTAGGAGTGCGGTTTTGCCTGCCGAGTAGACCCTTTAGGAAGGGGTACAAGTGGACAATCACCCAAATTGAGAAAAACAGTTTGCCGAATAATGGACCCCATGACTGATATCCGCTGTTTATAGCATACGAAACTCCAGCCACGATGCCAACCAAGTTGAGAATGAGGACAGTTGTGGGAGGAATGAGGAGTGATGTCCATTTGAAGACGTAAAGTTCAGCAAATTCTCCATCTTCATCAGATGCTTTCGAAGTAACAGTGAAGTTGGTATCGATCCCAGCCAGCACTTTTAGAAGACCTTGGAAAACAGCAAAGAGATGGGCGGATGTACCACCGATAACCCAAAACTGCTCATTTCTCCACCAATCCTCAATACTCACACCACTCCACCTTAACTCCAGGATTCCAGTAGCAAAAATGGAGATAAAGAGAAGAATGAACCAAATGCCAGCGTAGTTACTTATCTGCAGAAGAGCATAGATACATGTCAGATATACTCCTTACAATTCAGTACTATATAAAGGGTGTTGAAATCCTGCATAACTGGTGTTCTGGAACCCAGAAGACAACTTCAGGTTCAAATGCATAAACCATGAAG